TTCATGCGATTCAAAGCAAAGGACAACAAAATGTCGCTAAATATTGATTCAATGAATTTGAGGATAGATTTGACGTTTTTGGAGCGATTCAACAGCTATTATAACACGGATTCGCGTAAAAGCGGTTCCCAAACGAGTCTCGACTTCAATTTAGACATCGAAACGAATCGCCTGAATGTCGAGCTTTTGTTTCCCATACCAGACCTCAGACCGTACGACGAGAGGACGCCATCGCAGCTCAGGGATGAGTCGCTTCTTCTCAAACTGACAAACTCTGCGATCAATATCAACGCAAACGGCGGCGAAATCCGGTGCAAGTGCTTCGGCCTCGACTTCAAAGTGGACAACGATTTTGTGAATATAATTAACGGCCAATCGATGAACTCGGAGGACATCCGCCTGAAGGCCAGGTTTGGGCTCAACTCAGCGCTCAACACAACCCTCGACGAGGACGATGTGAACGCTCTGTTTGAGGCCGATATGGAGGACTCGATATACGTGGGACAGACGGCCCCACAGCAGGTGACCGAACCGTTTCAAGTGAAACGGAAGGTCATCGGCAGGGATGCCAATGAGAACGAACAGGTGTTGACGCCCGGCGACAGGGAGCACATGAAGACCTACTTCGACACGTCTGTCGCCTCCTCTCAGATCCATTTGGAGCTCTTCGTGCCGTCCGTTGACATCCATTTCCAGAACAAAGAGCAGTTGGAACTCCTCTACAACCGAATCGGCAATGATTTGATTCTATGGACTCCTTTCGCACAGCAGTCGTCCGACGCGACGGCAGGCAAAGAGCCAACGATAGCACAAAACCCGACGTTCTTCAGCATAAAGACGATGAGTGACTCGTCGTCCACGAACTCGTCGTTCCACTCGTTCAACGGCTCTCCGCAAGCGAATCGTCTGAATTTCATGACACTCGGCATTAACGTGAATGACGTGACTCTCAGGATGAGCTCCAAAGAGGAGGTGACGCAAGAGATCTTCGCCCAGAATCTGATGTTTGGACTCGTGGTGAGCGACAAGAGCGAGGCGAACAGTACGCTGTGTCTGTGCGCCGAGAATATGTCGTTCAAGTCGGACGGCGCGGTCGTCATCAGCGGTAACATCTATAACGAGCCGAACTGTGCCTTCAATCTGGCGGTCGATATAAAGAGAGAAAACGATTCGTTAAAAAAGATTAAAATCGCGCTTCAGTTGAGTAGCGCCGCCATGTATGAGATCCCGATCCCGGTGTTCGACCAGTTCTGGCGCTTCATTAACCTGACGGACGAAGTGGTGATCGGCTATACGCCGCCCAAAGTGATCACCGAATTGCACATCGATTTGCTGGACAGCGCCGTCGCGTTGGAGACGCTGGGCTCCCGACCCGCGCTCATCACGTTTGAGGACATTTACGTCACATCAATGGTCGTCGAGAACACCAACGAAACACTTCTGCGGATCTTCGCCGAAGACACGCTCTTCTGCTTCAAACGAAACAAGAGTTTAATCGAAGCGATGAAGAGCTATATATGTGTCGTCGAGACGGGTATTATTGACTTGAATCTGAAGCTCGCAAAAGATGGTAAACTGGAGTTCAAGGTATCGAATAACGCGATCGACATCAGAGTGTGCGCCGACTCGTTCTCGGCGTTGTGTCACATCATTAGTTCCCTGACGTCGAGTTCGACCAACAATAATGACATCGAGAGCACCGATCCGGACAATAGTGTGTTTGAGAAGACATTCGATGGGAAGCTAATGGAGGACGCGATGGGAGACAACGAAGAGGTGGTGATGACGAGTGAGGACAGCGACGACGAGTTGCCGCCAAAGTTCTGCACCAATTGCGACAGCCCTCAGATGGATGAGAGCGGGTTCTGGGTGTTGGGCGCCGACGACTTGGGCACCGGCATCAAGATGACGGCCGAACCGCAGATCCGTTTTCTCACAGAGGATACCATTACTGTGATTGAGAACCACTTCAACATTAGCCGTCAGCGCATAATACCGGACATCAGTCCCGCGTCGTTGAGTCGATACTTCTTGGAGGAAATGACACTAATCTTACACTTATATGACGGCAAAGACTTCGACGACGACCTCCCGAGCGACAGCCCTATCGACAAACGCACCGACGATACGAAGAGCTATAAGAGCTATAAATCAAACAAAACGTATCACTCGAATGAGCCGCGCGTCCGCTTCACGGATGGCTCGGTGCACATGTGGGAGAACATAGACCTCGAGTCGGCGCACCTGCCGCTCAGGGGCGCCCACTCTAACCACAACGCCAGGGCTTCCAATTCGTTCAAATCGATGGGTGGACTGAAGCGCCAGAACGACACCTGTGTCTCCATATGCCTGAACAAAGTGAAGACACTGTTCGAGAACTTCGAGCCGGAGTTCCCGCTGTCGTGGAGGTTCGTCTTCATGGTCCAGGACTTCGAGATCATCGACAAAGTGATCGCCTCGAAGATCAAGAAAATGCTGTACGAGTACTACTCGGAGAGTATGCCGCGCAGGAAACACGTGAACATGATCTCCATCAGAGCCACGGCTTTCAAGAACGTGGACAACAAGGAGGAGTGCGAACTCAAGGTCTCCGTGAAGCCCCTGAGGGTCAACATAGATCAGGACACTCTGCTATTCATCGGCACCTTCTTCACGACCGTCATCGAGACCATGAGCTCAGAGGACACGCAGATTACGCTCAATACGATGGTCGACGAGACGCTGCCGTCGTTTAGCGATACGTGTAGTAACGCGTCGGAGATGACCACAAAGACAGTGGCGTCGACCGTCTCGACCAATACAGTGGTGATGAGGAACAACGACGACGCGAATAAACTGTACTTCCGTTTGCTGTCGTTCTCGCCCGACGTTCCCATAAGTCTCGACTATCACGGAAAGCATGTGGACTTCGATCGAGTAATTCATTCGCTTGTCTATGAGTTTATTGATTGCTTATTAATGGCATGTGTTGTGTGTGTTGTCTCTTAGGGCGCACTCCAGGGCCTGTTCTTAGGGTTGGCTCAACTCAATCAAAGTGAGCTCCGACTGAAGCGCTTGCATAACAAACACGGATTACTTGGTTTCGATAAAGTCTTGTCGTACGTACTGAACGAGTGGACCAAAGATATCAAACGAAATCAATTGCCGTCTCTGTTGGGAGGGGTCGGACCGATGCATAGCTTTATTCAGTTGTGTAAGTGATGCCATTACGCGCCAACCCTGTAGACTATCTGCTATATTAAATGGTTGTCCTCTGGTTTTAGTTCAAGGGATCCGTGACTTGGTTTGGATGCCTATCGATCAGTACCGACGCGACCGTCGTCTCGTTCGCGGCCTCCAAAGGGGCGCCCATTCCTTCTCGGCGTCCACAGCGATGGCAACACTGGATTTGGCCAATCGGTTCGTATCGCTCATCCAAACGGCCGCTCAATTCGCGCACGACGTGGTCACGCCTCCCACTCCCGGGCACAGGCAGTCCACTGTCGTGGCGCTCAACGCGCAGCCCCGAGATCTGCGAGAAGGCATTTCCGTGGGCTACGCGTACGTGCGGGAAGGCCTACACGACGCCGTCAGAGATATGGTGACCGCGAGTATAGGCGCTGAGGATATCCCGTCGGCGGTGGGCGGTGTCGTGCGGAACATACCGTCGAGTATAGTGCGGCCCATCATCGGCGTCACTCAGGGGGCGTCCAACGTGTTGGTGGGAATGCGCAACCAATTGACACCTGAGGCCCGAAAGGATGATCACGAGAAGTGGAAGAATGCGTCCGAGAGATGAGACAATAGTGTCATTGAGTTGACGCCCATTTCCCTGTTTATCTGATTGTTATGTTTTGGACTTTCTATTAATTTCTGTGCGATTAATAATGTAATTATTGAAGTAATAACTGAATTGGTTTTAAAAACAAAGGATCTTTAAAGAAATTTAAGTATTTCCAGTCATTAATACAGTTTTAATTATATATAAGTTTTTGAATAATGCATATTATTATTATGAAACAATTATGAAATCATAAGTTTTTGTATTTATATTTCAAACAAATCGGACGACTAGTCAATTGATTGTATCGATAATTATATTATATTTAATATTTTCAATGAATGCAAATAAAGCGAAACTATTTTTAATATGTTTATAGACTACATCTACAGATCATTTATAATACAAACCATTGAATTAATATATGGACAACAGTTTAAAACGCAAAATAGTCCATAATTGTCATGGGATTGATATATTATTATTTTGTAAATAAACATTACTTTGATTGATTTGCCAAATACATGGAAAATAAGTTTACTTAACATTAAATTGAATGCAATTTCAATGATTGATTGATTGGAAACAGAAATCTATAAACACGTGAATGTGTCACGAATTTCTATTAATTTCTGTGCGATTAATAATGTAATTATTGAAGTAATAACTGAATTGGTTTTAAAAACAAAGGATCTTTAAAGAAATTTAAGTATTTCCAGTCATTAATACAGTTTTAATTATATATATGTTTTTGAATAATGCATATTATTATTATGAAACAATTATGAAATCATAAGTTTTTGTATTTATATTTCAAACGAATCGGACGACTAGTCAATTGATTGTATCGACAATTATATTATATTTAATATTTTCAATGAATGCAAATAAAGCGAAACTATTTTTAATATGTTTATAGACTACATCTACAGATCATTTATAATACAAACCATTGATTTAATATATGGACAACAGTTTAAAACGCAAAATAGTCCATAATTGTCATGGGATTGATATATTATTATTTTGTTAATAAACATTACTTTGATTGATTTGCCAAATACATGGAAAATAAGTTTACTTAACATTAAATTGAATGCAATTTCAATGATTGATTGATTGGAAACAGAAATCTATAAACACGTGAATGTGTCACGAAAATAAACATTACTTTGATTGATTTGCCAAATACATGGAAAATAAGTTTACTTAACATTAAATTGAATGCAATTTCAATGATTGATTGATTGGAAACAGAAATCTATAAACACGTGAATGTGTCACGATTACACTCCCCATTGATTTATCACTAAATTGCATAATTGCACTCATTTTATCAGTTATTGCCATTATTTGTTGATTACAATGATTATTAGTAAATACATTCGTAATCTTATTGATCAAAATAAAAAATCATAAGATTGTATATTGTATTACTAAATCAATAACAAAATATGAATCACTTTTGGCATTACAAATAGAAAAGCTATTATTCTTTGGCCGGAAAGTCTTCCGGCGTTTTGTGTGTAATTCAACAGAAATTATAGCGTTTTTCTTGTGAACTATTTATAAATTCTAATCGATTGGTCGATGCATTAAAATTTTAAATTTCCTTAATTTCGCGACACTATAATCTCCACTCAAATCTAATCTAAATTTAGTACTAAAAACAAAGTGTTGCCATTCATGTAAGTCATTCATTAATTATGATTACAAAGACCTTGTGTGTTGCTTTTCATCAGATTTTGTCAATTAATAGGTTTTTGTTTCCAATTAGAAGTGTATAATGTCTTTGGGTATAAATAATTTACATTAATTGATAGGAAATGAATGCACGTATTCTTCACTTAAATAGTGATCTACAGTATTAGTTGAAAAATATTGGACTACTTTTCCATACGGAACAGAATATTTAGAATTTTCATAAGAAATATAAAAGTTTATAAAAGTTTTCAAATGCTGTTGAAATTAATAAAGACTTATTTAAAGCGAACTAAGGATTGGTTTGATTTGTTGTTGTGATAGGATTTGGAAAATTAAATGCAAATGTGATTTGTTTAAAGTATTAAACACTAAGAGTGACAACAATTTAAGGCAATAAAGCAGTAAAGATTAGCCGAGAGTGTGATGGTGTGGTTGCGGCACAGGTTGTGGTTTTTGGCTCAAAACAACACAATTTGCACATAAAAGCCAAACTGCAATGCATTGTTTGTCTGCGTTTAGCCTTGTTTTCTGGTTACCTTGTAATCAAATGTATACTAATTTGAAAAAAGTTTTTCTGCACTTGTGTGTTGCTTTTCATCAGATTTTGTCAATTAATAGGTTTTTGTTTCCAATTAGAAGTGTATAATGTCTTTGGGTATAAATAATTTACATTAATTGATAGGAAATGAATGCACGTATTCTTCACATAAATAGTGATCTACAGTATTGGTTGATAATATTGGACTACTTTTCCATACGGAACAGAATATTTAGAATTTTTCATAAGAAATATAAAAGTTTATAAAAGTTTTCAAATGCTGCAGAAATTACTAAAGACTTATTTAAAGCGAACTACAGATTAGTTTGATTTGTTGTTGTGATAGGATTTGGAAAATTAAATGCAAATGCGATTTGTTTAAAGTATTAAACACTAAGAGTGACAACAATTTAAGGCAATAAAGCAGTAAAGATTAGCCGAGAGTGTGATGGTGTGGTTGCGGCACAGGTTGTGGTTTTGGCTCAAAACAACACAATTTGCACATAAAAGCCAAACTGCAATGCATTGTTTGTCTGCGTTTAGCCTTGTTTTCTGGTTACCTTGTAATCAAATGTATACTAATTTGAAAAAAGTTTTTCTGC